TTCCTGAAGATGGAAGATGTTCCTGCGAAGGATCGATACTCGCCTAACATTGTACATGTCATCATATTTCAGATGACGATCATGAATATCTTCACCGCTGGAAGGACCTCGAAAGTTGATGTCGTACATTAAGAAACAACTTCCTCGTCTAATATCCAAATAGCTCACTGATTTCATCCATCTAAAAAAAAATATTTACGTGATTCTTAAGTTTTCTGATCGTTTGTATCTCTCTTTCTGTCCGAGACTCGATTTCGATAATACTCGATTACTGTTCAACAGGTCGATTTTCGGTCGGTTGAACTTGTCACTACAAATGTAATGAAGTTCACACAGATCGCAACATAAACATCAGAATCAGTAGATTTTAGCCATCATCGGGTCCATCTTCCCATCGAATTAACGTGGTTTTAAAAGACGCTGTTTCAGTTACATACGCTGCTTACACTTCTACGGTGTATGATACATGTTGTAGACGATTAATGGAGCGAGACGAAAATTAACAAAGAGGATGGAAGTAGAGTGTTTGTGACATATTTTAATTAGTGTTGAGGAAGTGTAGGAAATCACAAAAACGCCATATTTCGTATTTTGCACTGGCTTAATGTAATTCATATTCCATACAAACCCTTTATTATAAAGCTAATCGCACTGTATATCCAGTTTCTATATCACTGAACAAAAGCAAAGTAATTTAAATTGCGTTAAATATCTATTATGCTGAATAACGTTTCAAATTAAAGCCAATAGGTTACAATTTAATCAGATCCAAAATGTATGCGCAAACTGTTCTCGAGAAAAAACGTAAATTCTCTTCCGGGTTTTCGTAAAGTGCTTGTTGGCCAACATATAATTCGACCTGAAATATATATAAATCTCAGTACATACCGAGTGTTCCAAAAATATATATATATAGTTCAGTCAGTATAGTGACTAGCTAGGGACTGGACGACCGGGGTTATATCCCCGACGGGGGCAGAGGATTTTTCCTCTAGCCTCTGTGTCCAGACCGGCTCTGGGGCCCACCCAGCCTCCTCTACAATGGGTACCGGGGTCCTTTCCCGGGGGTAAAGCCGGCCGGGGCGTGATGCTGACCACTCACCCCCATCTAGTGCCGAGGTCAAGGAAGAGAGGAGCTATACCTCCTCTCACCCCAAGCGCCTACATGGCGTATAGTGCGACAAACTTTACTTTTATATATATATATATATATATATTCAACGAATGAAATAAATATATTTAATAAACTAACCTTATTACATACATCTTTTTGGACACCCTGAATCAGGAAGTGTGTGATTAATTGATGGTAATTTGCCGGTAAGGCATTTTGGGCCTTATGGGATAATATTTATAAATACGTGTGTTTTTTTCATTAGATTTTCCCCCGTTATTCTTGACGGGAAGTTTGCTAGTTTTGATAAAATGCGATTGTAAAGTTACGGAATGAATTATTTTCTATTATGTACTTCGTTAAAACATTCATATTTCTCGGCCGAGATTCGAGCCTGCGACTTTCCGATAGCAGTCTATGCTCGTGGTTTTATTCAGTTCCTCCAGGCAAACGTTAGGGCTATTCCTTCAAGAACATCACGAAATTTCCCTGCTTAGATCTTTCATAATTACAGTACGTTCCGTTTTTTTCTTCTCGATGTCAAATATCCTTTACAGTTGGAACAGTGACGTGAAATAGCTTTTATTCGGACAAAACTTCAGATGAAATAGTCAAATAAACACATAAATGGAGAACACGGAACGGGAAGTGCAGGTTGGCATGTTGATTTTACAGTACGTAGTCCCACGTCTTATCAATAGATGTCGTTACTTTATGGTCTGTTGGACTTCCGAGTCGCACCGACGTCTCGAAATTCGCTAATAGTCAACACAGCAACGGATGACTTATTGAAGCGTGTCGTTGTTTCTGGCAGCCCCTCGGAGCAAACCATCACCGTGTTGATGTGTTCAGTCGACTGTTTACGTCTGTCGTCACTTCAAGAAACCGCAGCGCGAAACTAAATCCTGGCTGCACCGAATATTTATTCCGCAAAGACTCGGTCACCACAGCCTCGTTATGAAACGTTTCTCGTTTATATTTGTGTTAAATATTAACGTCGGTTTTGTTGCCCGTAAGAATTTTCTAAATGCATTCGGAAATTGTGTTCCCTGTGGTAGGGTCACGTATAAAGAGGACAGATGGCGTTTGTGCAGAGTGTACCGGATCGTTACTGCCGAGCTTGTAAGGGAATGTACCTTGAATCGATTTTAATCGATATAATCAAATACTGCAGTCCGGAGTTGAGCAGTTGTGGAGACAAGGACGAGAGAAGTTTCAAAGAAAGTAAGTTTTTATACAGTTATTAACAACCAAACTTTTAAGTACAGAACAAAATAATTTTAAAGTTAGTGCTATTTAACACAAGGAATTAACAACCGAGCTATAAAGTTCATAAAAGAAAATCATAGTTTCTGCTCGAAGTGTCTTCCGCGTATTCTTTGCACTTCTGAGAACGTGTCTGTAGTGGCTGGATTGCTAAGCATTTTTCTCAGGGTAATGCAGTATATGTGTTCTGCTGCTGAAAAGAAATTTTGATTCGTACACTGAGCTTTTCGAGTGACCAAAAGAAAGTAATTATATGTGGTAAAATCTGGTAAACTTTGATGTTCATACCTGTCCAACGACTTGAAATACATTGGTGTAAATATTTCGTCACACATTCGTCAGAGAACGTAGCGGGGTTGCCAGACGTACTTTCAACTAGACAGAGCAACTCACATTCATTAAAACTTTTATCCTTATAAAGAAAACGGATTTATTTCGTACGTTGTTTAATTAACAAGCACACCACACTCAAGTATTTTTGTTCTTTAATATAAGATATGCACATGACACAATACCATCAGACAATCAACAAGCCGCTTGGGGCGAGACCAGAACGCCATTATGAACACATGACTTACCTCGATGTGTGTCATATCGATTCGGACTGATTCATATCGCCAAGTGAAGTGTGAACACGGTGGGGCAATGGACATAGCTGTTCTTTCGGGGAAGGTGTGACATTTATACCGAGTGTGGCACAAGTTATTTATATGCATATCAAATATTTTAAACGTCTTTATATTTATTTATATTGTTTCAATTATCAGAGGCGCGGTGATACTTATGAGTGATAAGTGGCAGTGACGTTTACAAAATTATTAACATGTTCGTACCTGTGTTTCGTCTCCAAAAATATTCAATAGAATTCATTTATACAGTGTGTCCCAAAAAATATGTGAACAAAATTTCAGTGAATATAACATACAGTTTAATAAACTAAACCATTACATACGTCATTATTTACACTTAGTGAAATGGCAATTCTGATGCATGTGTTATGTGTAAGCGACATATGTTCGCCTCGCAAACACAACACAGGGTGATTGGTAACAAGGTTAATATTCCGTTTTATGTGCACACATCTTTCTGAGACACCTATATTGAGTAATTTGGAAGAGGGAAACTACACTATACGCTATTAAGTGACTTTAGTTTGTAACTTTTGTCCGTGCTGGTCCACCTTATATGAAGATCGCGTACTATTTTATGAAATAGCGTTCCACATTTGCTGCATTTAACGAAGGGCTGTTTGTTTATTTGTTTGTCAATGTAAATATCTTCCTTTATTAGCTAACTCGCCTGGATGCATTGGTTTTGTTTCACATTTTTTGAAGCCAACAGTGATTCTTATATAATTACACAGTTTTGCTGAGAGGCCTTTGTTTACAATTGTCATTGTATTCCTTTCATGCATTTCAATTCGCTTGCCTTTCTATTCTGAGTAGTTTTGTACAATAACTGCTATTGTTTTGAGTCTGTTGAATTGTCTACCGTTCCTAGATAATTATTGAGCTTTCACTCCGGTTTGAAGTGTTTATTCCAATTAAAATTCGCTTTTTGAACTCCTTTTTGTTACAACTATTAAAGCTCTCATACTGACTGTGTGGAAGATCTGCTCTCCATTTCTACTAACAAAAACAAAACTTAATGCTTTCTGTTAGAATTTCTGTGAAAGAATCAGAAATTATTAAAATGTAACTCCTTAACTAATTAAGCGTTCCAGTAAGCATCATCCATCATTATTGGATGTAGAAGTATAGAATGGAGCAGTGTCCTTCTTGAGAAACTAATAGTATCCAAGCTCGTCAAGAAATTCATTTTCTTTTACAGAACCAAAAGGTTTGTTATTATTTTCGTATTTCAGTCTTGAACAGGACAAATCCACTCCAAATCGTGTCTCACCAAATTTCTCCCAGATTTTTTTGTCCTACGGTTTACTGTCAGTCTGAGCGAAGAATTGACTCGACCTTCAAATTCAAGTACCCATTTGCGACAGTGCACAGCCGTTCTAATATTCCGTTGAGAAACATCGGCTGACTCAGCTATCCATTATTTTTTTCCAGCTTTCTTATATGTTGTCTTATTCCTGTGTTTTCAATGTCATACTTTATATAGAATTTAGTTTATCAGTCGGGGTCACCTATAAAACAAATGCAGTGTCAAATATGCATATCGCCTCAACAGTGGAGACGTTTAAAGAACGCGGCGATATTTTTAGGACAGCATTCAGCATGACGTCATGGCTTCAAGGTCGAGTAAATTCTCCGCTCGGGCGGACAATACGTTTAGACTTTTCAAGCGGTGTTTTCCCTCCAGACATTTTGCAGTTGCCTGACGTCTTATCGTGCTGAGACAGGACTGTGATGCGACTCGAGTCTTTACCTAACCGCGTTGAATTCTGTGTGACTAGGGAATACAGCTCTCAAGGTGTTTGACACCGAATTTTGATAGATGTTTCTCGATTTTCCCATGAGTACTGCGTATCATTCTTCATATTAATACATAATTATTTACATATATTATGCAGTTTTGTTCATGGTCCCGTAACATCCTGTACTGTAGGCTGGCTTCTCAACTTCGTAATCGGGAGATCGCCGTTCTGAATATGGGTGTGAGGGTACGATATACTGAGTAGGATGTTTCCTGTTTTTCTTTGGCTCCATAAGTTAAATGTTAGGATGATACTGCACCTTAAAATTAGTCCACGTCGTTTCCAGTTCACTTCCTACCCTTGTAATCCGGTGACATATAGCCCATTCAACAGGAGAGCCGAAGTTAAATCTAGCATAAATAAAGTAATTATTCTTGTCCTATGCCTTCTTTCTGATCCACCCCATTCTAATCTTCCATCTCCCTCATATTACCTTCCTTTCTCTTATGGTCTTCTTCTCTTGTCTGGTTTCCGCTCATTTTAAATTGTTCAAACCCTAGAGCCAAAAAAAATATTTTATCAATCTTCATAGACGTATTACTTTACTTATAACTTGCCAGTGCACAATTCTTTTATTAGACTTTAATCAGAGTTGTTCCGAAGAACCTTTAAGTAGTGTATGGTAATCATTCTTTTTCATCGTACATTTGTGATTTGTAATTTAATGTAATGATATCGTAAAAAAAAAATTAGAAAGTCGAATAAGGAGAATTCTGTCACTTGAAATAAAAACGGTATGAACGATGGTAGAGACTCTTATCTTACCGTTATTTCAAAACTTACCCACCGGAGATACTATATCAGAAATTAATTATAACCCAATCGTCTTTTCCGAATCAGGTCAATAACGATGCCTGATTCGATACGTCCTTAAGGAGAAAGATAATTGGATAGAAACTTTTGTGCCACGAATTCAGTAGATCTCTGAGGTGGTGTTCAAAATTTGAACATGCACCACCTACATACACTTGTCTTAGATTCAACATGGCTGAAATTCCATGCATACAATACAAACTTTATTTTATTTTTCTATAAAATTTAAATAGGTTTTCGGTGTGGTGTCAAAGTGCATCGGTAGATCACTGAATGTTAACTGTTATCACAAATATGAAATAATATAGGGTATATGCAATCCTTTACACAAAGTGTGATTAAGAAAGAAAAGTAATGATCAATTTGAGGTTATGGCTGGCAGTATTCCTTCATGAAACACGGCTAAAATTTCTTCAGACAGCCAGGGTTGGTCCTAAATGTGACCCTTCGCAAACTTACACCACTGATGTGAAACAAACTACTGTACTCTTGCAAAGTGTTTCCGGAACAGAGTAAATAAATCATATCAACTGCCACGGTGGTCTAGCGGTTAGAAAGCTGGCCTAGAAATCCTGGGGTCTCGGGTTCGATTCCCGGGGGTGCCCGAATTTATAACTTGTGTTGGGTAAGGCCGTGGTCTAGGCAACACGGAGTTTTCCTCCGGGGGCTTCCCCGGTTTCTCCGTGGCATCTCAAAAATTACTCCATTCACACACAGAAGAAGGCAATGGCAAACCACTTCTGGATCATCTGCCAAGAACGTATATGAACAGGTCCCAGTCCGGGAAAAGGATGGAAGGATCCTGTTCATATGGACCTGTCGTCAGACAGAACAATAAATAAATAATAAATAACATATCAACGGAATATTTGGCTGTTTCCTAATTCATCCAGCGTACCCATCGTAAAATATCCCCGAAAAGAAAGAATCTCTTATTCCAGTGTTGAGAAGTTTCTGGGTAGAAACTTTGTTCTTATTTTTATCTCTCGCTTATTTTATTTTGTTTGTTTGTTTAGAACCTTGGCCGAGTTATGATTTTCTCACTTACCATACCACCATGCGATTGCCGATGTAGTCTCTTAAAATAGGCCACGGTCGTCTCATTCAAAATAATTATTCCTTCATCTCATCACTCACGATTGTATTTGGTATATTACTGGTGTTATTGGGGACACAAAAACATCCCCTTCATGAAAGTGCAGTTTATACGAACATAGTTTTGAATTTGTAAGCCTTCTGCTACAAACCTGTAGGCTAGGGGCTCTGAATTCGTATCTACGGGGCCGTGACGTAGCTAGTATCGCAGTTCTCTGATCATGTGACGCCTCAGTGCTGCCACATGTACAGGAGAACATGTAACATGTATTACAACTTACTTAGCGTTACGTATTCCTTTCAGAATTTAATATCAGAGAGATTCGATACGTATCCTAAGAAATTCTTACTAATACGAAAGTTCGTCAGAATTCAAATAATGAACAAATTTATTTGAGCTCATTTTAATAGTATCCAGTAATAATCCCATGTCTGTAAATTTTCCACACAAAGTTTTGCGTACATTTTTTTCTCTCTCTTTGCTAAAATATCCAGCTAACACATAGTATTTCGTTCTCTGTATTTTGTATTCATTATTTAATTTCTCTTAGACTCAAATATTATCATCAGAACTTTGCTTTCAGATACCATCCTTCTTCAGACATACAGTAATTGATGG